TAATGCAAACCTGGACTATGTATGATTCATCTTCACTTTGGTTTCAATTTACAAATACTTATGTTCGTCCGACTTGTACACAACAAGCAATTATACTTGGATTGGATATTTATTTATCCTGATTTGTATCTTCATCATAAAACCAATAGATAAGATCAGGCAAACTTACGACAGGGCTTATGCGAATATAATTTTATGCTCCTTTAACGCAAAAGTGCCAAGCCAACAGTTGGACAAGAAACGCCGGCAGGCTGAATACTGTTATGTAACAACATTATTATAATGTAGTTATACCACATTGTTATTTTCAACACCAACTTTTAACTCAAAATCACGTTTAGAAGTTCTACGAGTTAGCGCATGGTATAAGATAGAAGACAACTTTTAAGAAAATAATAATTTATAGTGCATATTCATTTTTGTTTTATAGATGCATATTATATTATAGAATAGATTAAAGAGGACGTGTCAAAAACGAGGAGTGGGGGTAGTACCTACATAATGAGCAAGAAGGTAAAGGATTCCGCGTGGAGAAAGGAAGGTAGAAAGCCAGAGGTAACAATGAACGATAGGTATATAGTCGTTGATTTCACTTCACTAAACATATTCATTGCTACCTTAGAAAGGATAAACTAGGGACATACAATCGAATTTCAAACGCGGCTTAGTGACTGGCTACAAGCGCATCCAGGCTGACATTAAATTATTTAATTACATACAAATACAGAATATGGAATACGTTTATTGAATACCTCGACCTCCTAACCATCGAGGATGAAATGGAATAGAAAGCTGGTTATGTAGTCAGCATGCAAATAACTTTTAAGAATACAGAATCATTACAAGATTTTAATGACAACTACTATCGATATGAGAATCACAAAATCTTAAGTCTTAGACCACACCCAACCCTGTATTACGCCATGTTAGCGTGACCTCTGTGACGCTACGCCTAAACCACTTATCTTGACTTATACTCGTATATTGTAATAAACTTTATCAATAATTTTTTATGACTCTTGGATATAATTTTGAATTATCAAATACCTAATTCGGGTGTAATTACAATGTGTTTATCATTGGAGATCCTCGTTTGATTCCCCAATTTAGTTATGATCATTAATTTGTTTATAACACAATAAGAAAATGCCTAATTGTGCCCTACGATTTTATCAATTCTGGCTTCAGATTATTCTCTTAAAAGTCAAGCAAATAAAGTTATATTTTGGTACAAAAAGCTAGTTTTTATTAAGTTTTTTTAAAGAATGTAATACGGTGGGTTATGAAAATAGGATTGTAAAAATATCATCCAAATATGTTATTATTACAACTCACTTTTATTGAATCCTTACAACAACCGTAATTCAAAAACCTGTCCTGTCCTATCTCATATCATGACAGAGATAAACCATTTCCTACTACTTTTTACGTACATTTTACGGGCGTCCCTCAGATATCATAATTTAGATGCGGACTTCGCCATGAAAGGAAAGTTTTCATTTCTAATTTCGCTTTTCAGAGTCAGGTATCATGGAATTATACAATATGATAGAGCGCGGTACAGTTAAATACATAGCAGAATTTGAATAACATTGGTTTTTGCATATCTTAAAATCACAATAACTCTATTATTAAGTTACGTTAGTTAGTTGAGACAATACAGAAGTGAACCTTACTTAATTTAAGTTCTATAAGTGATGATTATGTTGTAAAAGAGTTTTTCTTATTAATCTAGTTTTAATAAAATAATTAAATATAGTACTAATTATTTGTTACTAGCGAACCCGATAGACGTTGTCCTGTACACACTTATCGTTTATCGCATTACGTCTTTATAGGGAAAGATTCGATCGTATTGGTCGTGGCATTATTAATGATAATATCGGCACGATAAGCTAAAAGAAACATCAAAATAAGCTCATCAACTTCAAAACTTCTAATTGTCAAATTTTCAATCATACTTAACCATAGATAACATTACGTATAGCTGTCAGTTGCGTTTTGTGTGTCTATCCCCGTATCCTGGTTCTAAGCCAAATAAGTTCAGCCGTTCTTGAGTTATAAATAATGTAACTAATACTATTTTCTTTAATAAATATATATTTAGACTTACAGAAGGAACAAAAAGTTCGTATGAGGCAACTTTTGAATAAATCTAAAAAAATATGTCTATAAAGATTTTAACGTATTATGAACAGAATTCATATCGAAATTTGTCTAAATTCATATTGTTTTTATTATTCATACTGTCTTATGTAAAATTCAGAATTACTTTATATCGGTATTGGCTATGATTAGGGCTATCTATAAGCCCAATACGCGTTCTATAGAATTCAGATTCAGTCACGTACAACATTACTCGTATGACAGCCTGGAGTTAATTTCAACCTTGTATACGTGTGCATAAAATGACGTTCGCCTTTATTAATTATGTAATTTTAAATATGTCACTTCAATAAACACTAAAATTATTAAAACTTTATCAGGCTTTATGTATTAACAGTTCGTTGCAGTAATACAGAAATACAGTACAATTAAAATAATTAAATAAAAAGGAGGGCAACTAGCGGCAACTGCTTTCGAGTGATCTCTGCCACTGTGAAAGAAAATAGTTACGTTGAGCGCAGGAAGTGAAAAACTACATAAGACACAAAGTTACTGAGACAAAAGTAATGGAGAAAAGCAAAGCAATTTAGACATATGTAAACAGTGAAAGGGACAATAAAAAAAATAACACATGAAAAATAAAAGAGGACATGAAACAGGATAATTTCAGATCTAACTGTTTTATGTGCTCTTTTTCTTCGTACGAAAGTTAGGGATACGATATGGACAGGTAATCGTTGTGCAGTAGAGGTTTAAACGAAGATAGAGAAGAAGTTAAGCGGATAGGGACGGGAAGTGAATTCCTACACCTTTTTTTAACGTTAATTTGACTTATATTGCTAAAAAAAATACAGTGACATAGGCTTGTACAATCATGCATTTTTTGCAATTATATTTCATAAAAAAAAACAAAATTTATTTAATCATACTATTAACAATAAACGTCAATATTTATAAAAAAGGAAGATCTAAATTTATAGTTCCCAAAACAAGGACGTGGAACGGCAAGAAGAACTAGCAAGAATTTCTCCGTCACTTTTTTTTATATACGTATATACTGGGCATATTCAATAAAACGGGAAATCGCTAAGGCAAAGTCAGAGTACATTGCCAGATTTGGGTGAAATTGGCCCACCTCCCTTCAGGGACTCGAGCCTTCTGGTCTCTCGGCAAAGCTGTCCAAGGAAATTTCCGTCAGTCCTCCACAATGTTTCAACTTTTCAGACATCATTTATTCAGTTACTACCGATGTAGGTCTTCGCGTTCGGGGCTCGTTGTTAATGAAAGTTCTTCCTAACTTTAGAGTTAAGCAGCTCAGCAAACCAATGCGAAATCCTTAATATTGTTCTTAAAATTTTTTTACCGCCGTATTTTATTACCGCGTATATTTAATTTTTACCTTTTTTTAAGAACCAAACACAAAGCAAACAAAGGAAATATATTTTCAAAAAAAAAAATTGTCTTTTTTATTATTATATCTACGTATAAGCCTGACAGTATTTACTTTTTCCAACAAATTTTTTTTCAAATACCGTTTTATTTTGGTTTAAAACACAAGAGACTTTAGTAGTAGTATATTCATTTTGTATTCTATTTAATTTAATTTCGCTTAATTACTTTTATTGATTAAGTAATAGTACAATGATAAACAAAAAGAGGACTAAAATATTAACATTTTAATAGATATTTAGGCTTCGGAACGTATTTATAAACTTATTATTAGACATTGTAAAACAACTTTCATCTGTTAGCTCATAATATTAAATAACAATAGCAAAACCTACATAATGAACAGTAAACACGTCTTCTCGTCGTCTCGTTTTATTTCAGAATAATTCGATATTAGATCCTCCAGACGTTTACATAACATGATAGTATCTCGATTTCAGCATTTTCATTCAAACCTTTTGCCAATTAATTCTGAAACATAGACAAAACCTTCACTAATTAATTAAGGCTCATCTTAAATCTTGTTACAACTTCTTCAAATATTCGGTTTACTTTGAATTCGCCTAAGTCACGACTACAAAATTTAGCTAACGCAAACCTTGTTCTTAACTTATGGAGAGAGCTTTTATTGTATATAGATCATTTTGAGCAGTGTTGGCCTAGTGGCTTCAGCGTGCATTTCGTAGTGAAATTTCGTAAAGAGAATTTATGAAATATTAGTATTTTATATTTTATGCAAAATAATTTATTGAAATCTCAAATGACGAATTGTAAATTAAAATGCCACGTGTTTTTGGAATTGAAAGCAATAAATAAAAAAAAATATTATTTGTATTAATTTTCGACACTTTTAATATTTTGATGACAATGAAATTCATGAAATTCCTAATATATCTTCCTTTTCCGCTCCCTCTAAGTCTCGGGAATCTAAACTTTTAGATTTATATAAATATGAACAAGAGTAAATTTAGTTTGCCAAACAAGTTTCACTTCTGACATGTGTTGTACGCTTCTTTTTTGAATCATTGTGATGGCAAAAGATAATCGTATCAGTGAATGAAAAAATTCCATGATATAAATTATTATCACGCCCATAAGAAAACTGTAATTATCAAGTTGTAAGTATAATTATTACAGTATTTTATATAAATTTAACTGGTAAGGAAATTCGTATTTTTTATTATTAGATTTCAGTGTTCTTGAATTGATTATATTGATTTTAATTATTGTGAGGAAACCAGGTACACAGTAGTGTAAATTGTAGTAACACTTTCAAATAAAACTGCTAAAACAGGCACTCGATCGATCTAAAAGTAATGTAATAAGTTCGCGTTTTATTAGTTAAAGATGCAATTAATAAAAATTAAGGTAGTTATTTGAATTCAGAAATGAAGTTATTAATTTACATACTCAGACAGATAATTTACAAACCTCTTTGTTACAACTCACGTCCATTCATTAAATTCATGCGATGTAGTGAACTCCCGTGGAGTGTCCGAAAGGACTGATAACAATGTACTAAATTCACTCGCAGAACACAAAGGTGTGTCGACCTGTTGAATTTCTGATAGCTTTGAAAAATCGACATCATACATCATCCTCTCCGTATCATAGCCAATCATCGTCGCAAATCTATGACCCCAAAATATATCACACTCTATAAAACTCGACCGCGCTTGCACCGATTGACCGGTTGATTCTATCATACCTTCGAAAACGACAAGTATTTCTATTTTACTACACAACAGGTCAGCTGCTGATAATTTGTAAAACGGACTTTTTTCATCTATCCAATGGACCACCGTAATTGGCCATAGAAAAAAAGTTTGTTCGCATTCATCTACATCAACATTCAATTCAATTTGATCGCTAATATTCATCTGTTTGTGCTCAGTTTGAAACCTTATTACGTAGGCTTGAGGCTTTATATTCAATATTCTAGACTTCCTCATATCGCCGACTCTGAATATTAGACAGAATTTGTCATTTCTGAGATTTATAACTGCTTGTCTGCTAAAGAGAATTGTCTGCGTCCTGGCTCGAGGACGAGTCAACTTTGCGAAAAGTATGCCGACCATTATTGCCTGGAATATTGAGCTCACAATGCATTGTAAGCACATCGCAGTTACAGTCTGGGGACATTCAAGTGTGATTGCTCGCTTTCCGTATGCGACCGTTGTGTGAACTTCGATGCTGAAGAGAAAAGCCGAGGTAAAGCCATATAGATTTCGTATGCACGGTATTGTTTTCGAAGCGTTTTGAGATATGGGTACAGGTGAGAAGTCGTCATGGTTGTATGAAATAATCCAATAGATGGTTCCAAAAAAAAGCCAAAGACATGTGTGTGCGCTTACAAAATTGAGAAGGGTCCACCTCCACCTTGCTTCAACAAGCGCTACGATGTAGTTGGAGAATAGTTGTCTTTGTTTTGATTTACTTTCGATATTCAGGTGACCATTTTTGAGTACGGCTCGTATGTTTTTTCTACGTGTATATGAATTGATACCTGGCACACCTGCAAACAGAAATTGTAGTAGGTATAGTTATCTCAGGCAGATGTTAATTGTTATATATGAATACCACAATGTCTTGGTGTGTGAATTACAGAATGGCTTTTAGATTAGGAGTATTTAAAAAAAGAAACAGCGACCAACATTAGCCTTTTCTTCTTCTTATTTTTGTAGTGACATCTCCTTTCGAAGGTTGGCATTCATAATGGCTACTTCATTTTTGGATGCCGTGCTTCTGAACAATAACTTAGTGCCTTCACCAAACCACTGTCTAAGATTCTCCACCTACCTGCCACTGAAAATTAGACGGGAACGTCTAATTTTCGTCACTGCTCCTTTTTGTGATTACGACTATTTGAGTATATTATTATAGATGCAATAATATAATGCAGACTATATAGTTCAATCCGCGTTACTTACGATTTTTTGGACGATAAATTCCTGGAACTACTGGAGGCGGAATCTCGTCCGTATTTATAGGTGACCATTCACTTTCATAAACCATTTTTTTTTCTGAAAATAATTACAAGTTACTTACTAAGCATAAACATGATTTATTAATATCCGTTCGTTTGAACGGATATTAATAAGTCATGTTTAAAAGCTACGAAATTTTATACCTATTACGTATAATAGAATAAATTTTATATAATACGCATATATTTATCACTAGTAACGAATTTACTACTATATTATCATTGTTAAGAAATTCATTTTTACTTACCTTTACTTAAAGAAAATCATTAGATTTTACTCAACAACTGAATAATTGACACGAAAACGTAGGTACATACATCTTTAATTAAATGCCGACTACCAGTTATGTGTTGAAGTCCGCCTCGTAAAAGTATTTAAATACACTGAGATGCGTTGATAAGATAAATTAATGACGTAAATAATAAAGAAAGTACATAGCGAATCTGTAGCCTCAATTTTGTGAAGCCAAAACAAATAAAATATTTAAATAATTTGCTACAATGTTGCGAATATAATATGTTTATTTAGCGGTCTGTGTGAATGTCATACGACATTTATGTAACAGGAGGCAAACGGGCAGGATGAGGAGGAGCATCATCTGATCTTAAGTGATACCGCCGTCCATGGACACTCACATTGCCAGAAGGCTCGCCAGTGCGTTGTCAGCCTTTTCAGAGTTGGTACGCTTTTTTCTTGCCACTATGTCGAATTGGTTCAGAAATATATCAGTGGGCAGTTGGTTCCACATGGTGGTGTGCCCCAAAACTGCCTTGATAAACGCTCAGTTATGGAACTACGGACGTCGAGGTAATACGGGTGGAATTTCTTATCCTGCCTCGGCGTCCGATGATGAATCTCAGCTACAGGTATTAGTCCAAACAGCTCTTCTGAAGACTCTCAATGGTAAATGCGGTAAAAGATGCAGACAGACCCCACAAATTTTCGCAAGGCCAGGGGATTAAGGCGCTTGGAAAGTGGCTGGTCGTCGACGATTTGAATCGCCCCTTCGTTCAATTCGGTCAAGTGGAAGGAGCTGGTACTGGGCAGCTCCTGCCCAGAGGTGCGCTTTATACAGATGCAAGAGGTGGCCCGGAGTGAAGTACCATCTCGCCATGCTGAGCACTTCTTTGAGGCTAAATTAGCCTTTCCATCCAAATGACCGTGAAACTGAACGTCGCGAGGAGTAGCGACAAAGAGTGTTTTTTTTTGCGGAAAGTTGCGTAAAGATCGGTCTTCTTAGGGTTAAATTGGACTAGACTTAGAAAATATATTCTTAAATTTTATGTTCTATAAATAATCCGTAAGACTCTTGTTGGGAGAGGTAAAGTAATCCGGTAGCTAAGTGTACGACGTTTTTCCGTATTAAAGATAACGTTTTTATCGTATTTGCTACAAATTGTATTTAAGATAGTGAAAGTTTGTCGTATGTTCGTAATATTATGACCGACTGTCGCAATGAGTTAGATAATAAAAGACACAAATGTAGAATTGTTTGTTAAAAGAGATCGGAATAAAAGCGTTGTAATATAACATTAGCACCAGTTTGTCGCTACGGTCTGTAACCACTCATTATAATTAATGGGATGTTTCGACTTATATCAGGACACAGATGGCATATGCAAAGGGTACACAATTCTTTACAAAAAATAATATAATTTATATTAATTTAGATAACATATTTGACACTAATACATATTAATAAGCGTAGTATTGTGGGCGCCTGAAGCAAAGTGTTTCGCAATGCCGTAACAATCATATTATTTCTTGCGTTCTATGAAATGATGTAGTCTAAAACTATTTTTGCCGTAGTTATAACTCAAAGACTAACTAAAGTACGGTACAAAAGAAAGACGAAAGGCTCTTCTAAACTTATTTTTAGTTATAGTTTTGATTATACATGTAGGAGTAATTGCTAATTGCGTCTTATTGCGGATTTTAAATTATCTATGTCAAGGGGAAGTGAAGAGTGAGATGTTTCCTAAGTGTTCAATTCGATAAAGTTATTCATTATTAATTTTCATAATCATTCACACTTCAATTATAATAATTGGTTTAACCATGCGTTTTATATTTTTCGTAGGTCATAGATATTATTATAATACTAAAACAACAAATCATAAATTCCTAGCCAAAACTACAACGGAATCAATATACAGCAAAATATATCAATTTATTCATCAAATAGACTGCCAAATATACAAATATCTCTGTAAAGCTTGAATAAACTGTCGAGACAGTACGGGTATAAATTAATTTTCTTATTACTTCGGCGTATGAGACAAGAATTCATTTTCCATATTGAATTCATACCGATCCTTGTTAAGGAATGTAATTTAATGTTTAATATTCTCAATCCCTTATATTTTTAAAATGCATCAATTTCTTTTGACAACTTTCAATAAAAAAAATGAAATAAAAATGCTGTTGTTTAACGTACAACAGCAAGGTTGAAAGTCGGCCTAAACGGTAACAGCGGAAATATTTCTAGGGAGAAGGGCAAATACCAGGAGTTTCGGTTTTGACCTCTGGAGGTAATCAAAGTCTGGAAGGAGAAGTAATTTTTAAGAATGGAGGCACAAGTGATTTTCGGTTTGGTTTACAAACCTTTCAGCTTATTCGTCCTTCTAAACCATTGGGTAGATCAGCGGTGAGAAACGCTTTCCTATTTGCTCGCCGCAAGTTCACTCTGGATATGTTTTGGGAATAACCTGCATCGAGCTGTTGGAAGAGAAGCATCACCCGCGTGTCATCATATACGGAGGATACGATGGACACACGGTTGGGCCATAAAGGCATACCCAAGCCTGGCCGGCTTGATCCTTGACAGTAAACCAGAATGATTGAAAGAAAACGTCGAGAAATAGTTTTAAAGTTTATGCGTGGCAGGAGTCACGGTGTGTCGCATTTGACGGGGGTAAGAATAAAGTGCAGCTGTCATCCTATCTCCACCTATTGGCGAGCTGAAGGCATGTGTCAGATTTTAGTATTTAGAGTAAGGGTCTGTTTGAATGTACGGATAAGTTCTACATAAGTTCCAAATGAGCTATTTATTACTTATTGGTAGGATAAACACTATTGTTCCGTTTCACGACTGTCAGATAGCGCTATTCGTCACATAAAGTCCATCATAAGTTATGAGTGCGATGAATGTCAAATAGCACAATTTATCTTCCAAATAATTTATGTGTTGCATAGCTATTTGGTACTTTATCCATATATTGTGAAACAGACCCTCAATGTCTGTAGATTTATAAAAGTCATAGTTTATTTATGTTATGTCCCTGAGACGGATTTATTTTAAAGTATTTAATACCACACCTTATCATCGTATAGAACGTCTCGCGGATAAGCATTTTCATAAAGATAATGTGACTAAACGGATATAATATTTTGTTAATTATCCTCGGATAAAAATCCAGCAAAAACAATGAATTTGTATATTATGGCACTTACCAATGAAGGAAACCAAAAGATGGCAATCTCCGTCTCAGCAATTACGACAGTATGTCTAGGACTCCTAAGGCTAAGGTGTAAGAAAGAAGCTTAGACATTATTTATAATGTGCTATAAGTGACCGATAGTTGTTGTCCCACCCTGAAGTCGTAGGATCGAACCCCAAGTGGCCATTGGACTATCTGTCTATAAGCGCGCTTTAACACTCGTTCGTACGATGAACATCGTGAGGAAACCGGCATGCCTTACATTAATTGATCATAAAACAGATATTAAAAATTAAGGGCCATAAAGGGTTGTAGTGCCATGTCTTTTTTATGTACTTATCATTTCAATGCATTATTATATAAAAACATTATTGTTAGCAAAAGTACATCGAAAATTAAAATAAATATTCAAGTTTAGATTGGCAACTAGGTAAGTTTGTTCCCCACTTCTCAGTATAACTTAAGTCAGTTCAACTTTCTTAATGACTATTCAAAAGCGCTTGAAAAAATCCGCCTCCTCAAGTCAAGAAAACTTTAAGATATTGTAATATTCTCGTATTTTACAACCCTTAAGATGAAGTTTTTTTATTACTTTAGGACAATCTCGGAAAATGTTCTAGAAAAAACCTATTGACAGCCGAAACTGAAATCGAATTAACCTAAAATTTAAATAATAAAGTATGTATATACTACTATTGACAATAAACAATAATTGAGATCACCTATAAAGAAAAATGAATTTAAGCGTTTCCCGACCACGCTCCACTTCAATATTTATATTAGGAAGTAATTAATCTTTATACGAAAAGAAGGAATGGCTGATTGATTGAACTGGTTAAAATTTCTCTATTTCATACCCGTAACTCAATTAATTAATCGATTGGGAATGCTAATGAACCTTTCAAATGTAAAACATATCTGGTTTTAAATTATGCATGCGTCAGTGAAAAAATGTACCGTGAACTCATAAGAATTTTCATTATAAAAGATAGAAGCTGTATTTGGGACATCAGTCATTGTGTCTCAAAGAATCTCATATCCGCCAGTCCGTTTGGGAGTAACGAGGTTAAGGCGAATTCATAATGATAATATTACTTTATAATTGAGCTGATGTTCCTGCTAAATGGGCATAATCAGATTTCAAACAGATATTTTATCTGTTTGTTATCTGGCTAATATTTTGTAATTTGCACAATTAAAAATTGTACCATTGCACAGAAGGTGCAATGCAAAGTATTCAAAGAAATAGTGAATGATTGAATGACATCATTTAAAGTAACGTAAAACTATCTATGTAACGAATAAATTGTGTATAAATAATTAATCTAACTAAAAACTCAATAAAAAAGTTACTAAAAACATGCAGTACACTCACCAGCAATTAATATTTCAAAGAAACTGACATGAATTTGTCGTGAATGTAGTATATTTTGTCTAAATTCATACAATGATGCACAGTATAAAAGCATGCTTACAAAGGGAGAGCAGCAAACTGAAGGGCGCGCTGTCTATACTAACTCGATATTTTGCTTGGCATTATATTTTACCTTGAAAACGAGACATCTTGTTTTTTAACAATTATGTACGA